AAGCATCAACTTACTAAAATAAAGAACGTGACCCAACCAGCCTTTCGTTAGGCCGTTATGCTTCATAGAGTTATAACTGTGTTTTTGAAGTACCGTCATTATTTCTACAACAATAATAAATGTATTAATAGATCATTATTGAAAAATAAAATAGAAAATAATTTTTGGAAAAAAAATATGTGTGGTGTCGTGGGACACCGGATAGGAACGAAGTTCCTTATTATAAAAAAAAATGTGTGCGTGTACTAGTGTACACACGTAAGAAGTGAAACTTCTTTATGGCCTTATTTTTCGAAAAATGATCTACATGCAACTTTCTAGAAATTGGTTAAATAAAGTTAAATTAGATAAAGTTTAAACAAAAGGATTTTATTATCATAGACATGAATACAAAAAAGATGGCGCGTAACGGAAAAATGTGACGCGNTCGCCATATGAAATCCGTTCATCCCACAATAAATTATATTAAGTAAAAAATAAAATTATTATATTATTAAGTAAGTCAATCTCTGTCAAGTAATATAACAGTGTATTACAATACAAAGTTCATACTTTGTATTGTAATACACTACTGTAATGACACACCCGAATCATTACTTAAGTGATGTGTTGATACACATCACTTAGGTAATGATTCGGGTGTATAGATACAATGTATTCGTCGTCACAGTATCTATTGAACGCACCGAGTAATGTTAAGAGTGATGTGTAATGTTTTCGAGTAATATCACCTGTCTGTAAAAGTGATGTCATATCACATTACATTGGCAAGTGATGTTTTGCGCAAGTCTAGTAGCAGCCTCGCCCTGGGGGAGGGGGAACTGCCTCCATGATCGCGGTATCTCTTACGCCAGGTAAGTATACTTTCGGAAGAGAAATACGAGAACGTATATCATCTGTGTAGCGTCTCGTCACCGCGATTCAGGAATTGTTGAATTTACGTGCAGCGACATCTGTTGATAACAAACTAAATAGAAAAAATCTTACGTTACGGACGTTTTTTCTTGGTTAGGGTACTCCTCCGCATCGTCCCATAAGGAACTTCGTTCCAAAAAAGTCTGTAGCATTAACAAAATACAGCACTAACTGGGACACTTTACAAGTAAAACTCACCCTCTGTGTTGCCAGTGAATTTGTGGGCGATACCTAATAATGGTATTCGCTCGTCCACATCTGGGATAGCCGCTGCCAGCTTGTACATATTCCTTCGTCTGTACCTGAACACCGAAAACCAGCCGAGGACAAGTACTATCAGAAAAATCACAATCATTTTCTACTGAAAATGTAGCGACTACTATAATACCCAAAAAAAATACTTTTACGCAATTCACGTACGACTACTTTGAATAAAGTTCGTTTAATAGTGTAATTGAAGTATGTGAATTCTCGGTTATAAATGCCTGTTTTACATAAACGATTTCGACCTTCGTTCCACCTCTGTATTGTATTAACTTTTTTTCCCTACCTATTCTCTGGTAGCCTAAGAGGCTATTCCAGCTACGCCCGGAGGGGCAGGCAAGCTCACGGGCTCAATCTGAGAGATTTTTTTAACACTAGTCCTAGCAAAAACAGTGCTTCGCAGAATCTACCACCGGATCGGAATCGCGACCCACTCAGAAGGTCCGGCGAGAAACTCAGTGGACTGGGTCTATGTGTTAGTTCGCCCGTCCACCAGTTCGACGAGAGCAGTAACCGATGCTTTAGGGTCCTAAAAGCACCGAGAGTGAATCCGGGCGATCTGACAAGACATGTTTCGGGCGACAGCGGCTTTTTTGCCCCGTCGTGGTCGGGTTATTAATGTTACACCGGTAGGAGTTACGCCATCTATCGCCGAATAGCAGAAACGAAAATCAAAGGAACTGGTAACATCGAGAACGCTCGAGAAGTACAACGCCATCTATTGTCAGATAGTCGAAACACACATCAAAGCTACTCGCCTTGTCCAAAATGTACTCGATAAATCTAGGGATCGACTCCAAAGGCGTTACAGAGATGGCACGAAGTCAGTTAGTAATCGGATCTGCCCGAACCGAAACAGCGAACGGATCACCTGTAGCGAAGCGGAAGAAGTGAATTGAGAATTTTAAAGCGTTCCTAAGTGTTAATACAAATTTTTATTTGTACTTCGGTAGATTTGTTATATATCCCGAGCCCCAGTGCGTAACAGTAATTAGCAGCGGCCACGATGAGAGGGTTTTAGTGTCGCGCCTATTCCTTAAAATACTTACGTATCAGTAATATATTTAGGTCGTCGTAAAAATATACATTCTTCACATACCGCTGTGCTCCCACAGCTATCCTGCAGAAACGGGATTGGATGCCCTGGAGAGAGTTAATGTGTGTACGGGTCGCGTGAGCGAACACTACGCTTGCATAGATCACGACAGAACGTACGCAAGTTTTATTAAATAGTCCACGCCGCGATGGTTATGTTCACGCTGCTTTTGATCACAACATGAGCTTCAAAACATCAAAACCTTCATCCAAGATTCTAAATCTCATGGTGTAGTAATCAAAATATCAATTAATTCAAAAAAATATTTGTGACTATTAAATACGAAAACCAAGTATAAATCGAGTTGATATATTTACGAAGGCGACTAAGGGTTTCACCGGAGAATGGACGACAGCGTTCTCTATACATTTTATTCTTGCATTTTCTATTATCATTATTTATTTATTTTTTTTATTGCCCTTGTAGGCAGACGAGCATACGGCCCACCTGATGGTGAGTGGTTACCGTCGGCCATGGACTTCAGCAATGCCAGGGGCAGAGCCAAGCCGCTGCCTATCGCTATAATAAAATATCGCTTGTATTTTCACGTATTACCATTTTGTCAAAGTATTTATTTTTTTACAAACTGCCTAAACTCAATGAACGAAATTTAAAGTATTTTTTTTCTACAACTTTACTACCTACATGTTATCTACATGCTTATTACATCATGTGTATTTTTTTTTCTTTTATTGCTTAGATGGGTGGACGAGCTCACAGCCCACCTGGTGTTAAGTGGTTACTGGAGCCCATAGACATCTACAACGCAAACGCGCCACCCATTTCGAGATATAAGTTCTAGGGCCCCAGTCCTGGGCAGCCCCGCTATTCCTGGTTACGGCAGTGGCCACAGTAGGGCAAGGGGTGCTAAGAACCCCACGGTGCCATCCAGCTCCCATAAACGATTGTAACTTGACGCGTATAAATGGATATTGCAGAATGTTGCTGCATATTAAACATCTCGAAGAGCTATAAAGAAAATTGAACACAATAATATGGCATATTATTGGATTATCGGAAATTCTAAGAGAGGAGGAGGTTTTCAGAACTATAACCGCAGGAAACATGCTCTTTTGGAAGGAGAAAAGCTCTCGCAGAGCTGCGTTGGCTTCCTTGTCCAGAGATCCCTTGTCAACAACATTGTGGAAGTCAATAGTGTATCGGTGCGGGCTGCGTATCTTGTAGTAAAATTAAACAGCGGATACTCGTGATAAGCTGTACAGGCATACACTCCCACATCGACATACTCTGAGGAAGTTTGCGGGGTATTTTACGACGAAATCGTAAAAGCCATCGAACGCACCACCAAGACCCTATTATACCGTGGTGACGGAGGATTTGAACGCGAATGTTTAATTTTTAATTAAGCAGTAAACAGTATTAATAAACTATACAAAACAGCTCTTTTTTACTGAATGATCGACTTCACTACACGGCACTGAATCACACTGAGGAAAAATCATTTTTTAAAAAGTAAAGAACTTTAAATAATAAAGGTTGTTCTTTACACCTCAGAGGGAAATAATTACGTGTAATTGTTTAAGTAGACTAACAATGGAGATTATTTTGTAATGTGATAGAGGCTCGATTCCACTTTCTTCTGTGTGATGTCCGTACAATATTTTTATTATTTTCATTAATTTTACATCGGATCCTATTAATTATAGTTTGATTTAACCTCTCATTAAGGCCATTTGAAAATGGTAGAAAATCTTTAAATTCTTTAGAGTTTATGTTTATGTTCATTAAAATTAATCTCACAATTGTGTGTGGCTATCACTGATAGTTCCGACATATCTCGTGGACTTTAAAGAAATCATACAAGCTAAGTTATGTCTACTATGAACACAATGACAAAGCCAAATCGGTCGAAACGTTCTAAAGTGATGCTCTGAGAAATATAGGGCATAGACAAGCAAATAACCACGGCAACTGAATGTATCCGAATGTCTTCTTTTCCGGCATAGGAATTAACTGCTTGGATTAGTGAACGAGTGGCGAGTCTTCTTTAAGTAATATTACTCCATACAACTTCCACGTGGCTCCTTGATTACTGATGATAAAGCGTCTTATGATCTCTCACGGGTAGATACCACCACCCTCCCTATTTCTGCCGAGAAGCAATAGTGCGTTTCGATTTGAAGGGTGAGGCAGCAGTTGCACTGTAAAAGTTGAGACTCAGAACTCATGTCTCAAAGTATAATAGGTGGCTGCATTTATGCTGTTAGATTCTATAGGCTCCAGTAGCCATTTCAAACCAGATGGCCGAGAGCTGTCCACCCATCTAAGTATTAAAAAAGCATGACCCACGGGTGCATTGCGTCATTGGGACACTGGCAGAAAAAAAACTATCGTATCCGAAAGAATTATGTTCACGCATTAAAAATATTTATTTATTCGCTATTCTATTATATTGTCCAGTACAATAACAATGGTACAATAATACGTCATTAAATAACGATTTAAATATTATACATCGTTACATAAATTTACATGTTAATATATTTATATTTGTCAGTACCTAATCAAACATTTGAATAGAATAACATGAATCAATAATTTGAATAAACTTAATACCATTTTAAAAACACCAAAGTATTACCTCTCGAAAAAAACAACTTATATTATTAAGAAGACTCAAAAAAAACTTATTTAAACCCTATATTTTGCATTATTTGTACGTTGGCGATAAGGATTTTTTGCATTGTAAATATAGGTATACTTAAGACTTGCTTTGGTATACCATAATTACTTGTCGACTATTACGTTTTAACTATACGTTGACAATCTACGACTGTACATGTTGGCCCGATGCTATTTTGTTGGCCTTCTCTCCAAAGCCACCTGGCATCCGTTCACTGGCTTCATCATGATATCCAGTTTGACCCTGATTTGAGGAACAGGCCCTTTCTCCGGTTCACCTACTACCTTGTATCGCCGCAGTATTGCAGATAAAGAAGTTTTAATCGATATCATTGCGTACTGATAACCTGAGAAAATATACAACGAATCAGTTCACGCGTTATCGCTTCATACAAGCTATATTTATTAACTTCAAAACTATTCATAAAAATAATAATTGATAGGAAGTAAGTTCATCCAAGCATAGATAAGTGTCAACACACAACAACAAGGAACTCCTTGTTCCGTGGAAAAGAGAAGGTTAAGCGCGAAGGCTCTAGAGCCGTGAATTTCTTGGCATGAGCACGGTACTCACCCAGACAATTCCTAGGGCCGCTACTGAACGGCATGTAGCAGCATGGGTGCTCGAGATTAAAACGCTCCGGCAGAAACCTGTCTGGATCGAAGTGTTCCGCCTCCGGACCCCAGTACTTTGGGTCTCTGTGAATTCCCCAAATAGAAACCATTATCCCTGAACCGGCAGGCAAAACGTTACCGGATGCTAAAAAATAAGAGAAAAACAGTATTATTAATCGTGACTATTAAAAGCTCAAATATAAACTGAAATTCATTTAGGAGAAACAATTAGTAACCTACTATAGCCACTTACAAACATATTTAGGTATAAGGTGATGTACCGATGTACGAGTAATTAGAGAGAAAATAACTCATGGATGAATAATATGTATGTATATTCGTTTCAAACTGAAGCTTTAATTCATGAAAGGCCTGGCTATATAATTCTTTTTTTTTATTGCTTAGGTGGGTGGACGAGCTCGCGGCCTACCTGGTATTAACTGGTTACCGGAGCCCATAGATATCTACAACGTAAATGCCGCCACCCACCTTGAGACATGAGTTGTAAGGTCTTACTTTTAACAGTACAACGGCTGCCCCACCCTTCAAACCGAAACGCATTACTGCTTCACGGCAGATATAGGCGGGCGGTATGTATGGGCGGTTGTCTTGAGGTATTCTAATATTCAAATAACAATGTTTCTCTTTAGCCGATTTCGGCCACGGCGATCATTTCAGCTCCGTTTATATCTCCGTCTACATACTACTTACTCCGACCGTAATTGTCACGGTGTGCTCGTGTGTGTGGGTAACATGGCCAAATTATTCCTAAACGCTATTGCACATTGCGAACAGGTGAGCACACCATTATAATAGTTGTAAGAGATGGCATAAGGCGGGTTTACTTTCAGTTCATCGCGACGAGCATCTATTTTAGAGCAGCGTTTCTCTTCAAAGTTTTTTACTCTGGCTTTCACCAAAGACTTCCATTCCGGTCGAGCGGCTGTTTACTCCCACTCAGAAGACTCAATGTCCCACCTCGAACGCTCAACGTCGCACTTCTTCATGAGGCGCTTAAGCACATCTATGCCCTCCTCAAGTTTAGAAAAAAAGATGCGCTTTGCCGTACCACCGCAAATAACTATTGATGAAAGAACAACGCTTGACTACTACTTACGCAGTCTCATATCCTCTAAAACTTTTCTTATGATAAACGGAACTGGAGGGAATAATCTGAGAGACTCCTTCACGACTCTGTCCAAATATTCCATCTTTTCTAAATCTTCTTTAACTAAGGCACGTTCCGAACCGTCGAAGATTTCGTACAATCTGGAATTTTTTTCATTAATTTACCATTTGTATGTATGTATGTGTTTCTTTATCTCAACTACAAATAAGTTTTTTTGTTGCTGCGATTAGAGCTCTTTTATTCAATGCGCTTACGGCCCATCCGGTTTTATGTAGTTACCAGAGTCTAGAAACATCATCACGCCAATGCCGTCACTCACCTTGAGTGTTAATAAAAGTCTACTCAATTGCATAATATGAGGGCTATCCCACTTTTCAAACCGGAACGTACTAATGCTCGCCGGCAAATAGGCATAGCGGTTATTCATAATAATATGTTCGTATCGCCCTATATGAGTATAGTTACACCTGCTGTTTTATCGCTTAAATCGAAATAGGACTTGACGGTCTGCAAATTTCGGGAGCAGACCGTGGGCCCAAGGACGTTTTTAAGGCCTGAACCACTAAACGATTCCCCTTATCGATTTTCGCCCGAGGTCGAAACCGGGGCAGAGCAGCACGATTTCCGCGGTCAACACTACGATCAACTGACCCGCTGCGTCAGAACCATCCTGCCGGGTCCAAACGGAACTCATAGAAGTCGAGCTTAGTCTGACAGGACTCATCGCTCCCGGGCATCGTTGCCACGACAATCGGGAGCAAGAATTCTGGTCTTATCCATAGCGATAAGGATGCGGCGCTGCTCCTCGAAAGCGGGACAGATCGCGAACGTGTGCTCCGCCGTGTTCTCGTCGCAGGGTGCAATGGTGGCATTCCAGTTTGAGCCGTTTTTTGTCCAGCGTTTCATTTTTAGTTCATAATGTTTGGATACTTTAATAAAATTTATTTTAACGTATTATAGCTAAAGTAAATATAAAGTTCTAGTGGCTTGAAGGATAAAATAGCAGATACTTCGATATAATAGTAACTTTGACCACTTAAACAGACGTATGAATATTTAAAAAAAACGTGTATCTAAATACAAAGAAGAAGATAAGTTACAGTATATTTCTTACTCTTGGTAAACTTTATCCTGTATTTTAGGGTATTTAGCTAAAAGCTCCAGTGTGAATCCAATAGCGACTGCTGATGTGTCTGTACCTGCTACTGTCAATGTTAGCATTTCTTCTCGTAATTCAACGTTAGTATAACCTTTTTCATCTCCAGAAAAAGTGATTAGAAGATCCAGGAATGTCTTCCTTTTGTATAACCCCAAATCTGGGAGAAGAGGAAATTCACTTTTACAATCTAAGATGAGTCAATTCAAAGCCGACCTGAGACTCATAGACAGCTTGGCGTCTTCAGTTTTAACACAGGAGAATGAGCAGCAGTGTTTTCTAAGTATCAAACCGCTATCACCAGCCAATATTTACTGGTGGTGTAACGTATTGTAAGCCCTGACGGATAGAATACAATTTTGGCATTTCCATGAATTAATTTGATTTAGAAAAAAATTTCAAGTCCTCTGCCTTGTGACGTTCAAGAAATGATGTTGAAATTTATATTAAATAATTCCATTGTTTACTGAAAACAATCTCATGACTGACGACGTTAAAAGCTGTATACGTTTACTTGCTTTAAAAAATGTTTCACTCAATTTTCGACATTGAGTAAAATGAAGACTATAGTTGTTTTATAACTTGTATATACTATACTGTACCTACCATATTGAGTATCCACTTCTATTTTAGAAATCTTCTCTATCTGAAACTCTTCTCTTTTATTCTGAATTACCTGAAAATCAAACATAAAATTATAATATGATAAAACTCTGAACATCTGTGGTTTAGGGTTTTTATCGTTGCCTTAGTGTAATGAGCGCTCTTTGTTGCTTTATCGTTAACACTTACTGACAATTTCGGGCAGGTAGGCCTAGCACACCTTAACTTGCCTAATTACTACCGTGAACTGACGTGTGAACAACTGCTAGGGCGTGTTCTGATATGTCCGTCTTATCTGCTTCTATCGCAAAATTATAATTAGTTCTGTTTAAATGGTCACGACATTCACGTCAGCTCGCGCCGCACTGTCGAGAGGCTTTATTATTATGACTATTTTTGAATAACAACTAAGCGTATATTAGTATTTATTTTTACAATCGAACCGTTTACAACCGAAACAGAGTTGAAATATTATATATACTAACTATTATATTATATATATATACCTAGTCTTGCCATAAATACTGAGACAAAGGAAAAAAAAATCTATTGCAAATAACATTTATTACTTTTACAGTGTGTTAGTTTAATACATAAATATAAAACAATTTAAAGTATAAAAAGCTTATTCGAAGTGGTCTCCACTAACTGCAATACAGTCATTTAAACGTTGAGGCCAGTTATCAATAGAAGGACCCACTCTTTCCATGGGAAAAATTTTCACTGCCAATCGTACGGATTGTTTTAGGGACTCCAAATTATCATGGCGTTTAGAGCAAGCCGTACTCTCTAAAACTGACCATAAATCATAATCCAGCGGATTAAGATCGGGACTAGACGACGGCCAGTCTTCAGCTCTGATCAAGTCCGAAACGTTCGTTTCCAACCAAGACTGCGTAGACCGAGCTTTATGACCTGGCGCCGAGTCTTGCTGGAAGGACCATCCTTGATTATTGAACATGGTGTTGTTAAGGGGCTTCACTACCTTCTCAAGAATTATATCTTGATACACTTGTACCGATGTTTTGATATCTTTTCTCAGTCACTCCTTCATAGCTAATATCCCACCAAACCATCACTGAAGTCGGATAGTGCCCACGTTGCACTCTGTCGACTAATTGGGAAGCTTTCTTAGAGCTTTGAGCATAAATACGGTCATTTTGTTTGTTAAAATGTTGCTCAATGGTAAAAAAAATCCCGTCCGTAAACAAACATTTTCTATGACCTCCCTTTGCGTACCGCTTCAGTTGTTGTTTCGATTTTACCACCCTATTCTCTTTAAATTATCAGTTAAGAAATGACCTGTCCTAAGTCATCTTTTAAAATACGCGACACGGTTCTAGGTGCTATCTTCATCTCCCGAGATAAAATCTTTTGCTTTCGGACAGGATTTCTTCGAATTCTTTCCCTTACTGCTTTGACTACCTTTTTCGTACGAACACTACGTGGACGGCCAGATCTTTTTCTGTCACAAACAGAGGAGGTCTCATTGTACCTATTAATAGCCCGGTACACAAACATTTTACTAATACCAAGCGTATGGAGAGTTTTAAAAATTGCATTTGGCTCCATATCTACTTTGTGTAATGCAATCATAGCGATTCGGTTCTCTTTATCACCCCACTCCATTTTAATATCGCAAAATATTGTACAATGTATTGGCGCCAAAATGAGAAAACTCAATGAGCAATCATATAAAAATGACAGATTCCAAATTCAAATGTAATATTTTGTTTATTTTAAATTGTAACAGTATTTATGGCCAGACTAAGTTGTTATGTATAAATCCAATACGATAGTAACAGTTCTTTTCCGGAGCTCATTTTGGCGATGTCGTGTTGAAAACTATGATTCAAGGTCAGTCACAACATATACGTTTAAAGCCTTAAGGATCAAAGTTGTACATAAAAACGCAATTCTCTTCCGAACGCACCATTGTTTTTGACCAAGCAAGTAAGTGACGTCGCAAACGCATTAAGAGGTCTCATTTATTAATTTTACTAAAAAACTGCAATTCTTTTAAAGGTCAGCACAAAAGCGCGCTCAAGATACATATGATGCAGAACAGCTACCTTGTTTTTTTTTTATTGCTTAGGTCGGTGGACGAGCTCACAGCCCACCTGGTGTTACGGAACGGAATCCTAGGATCACTTTGTTTGTTTGTACAACAATTAAGATTTTTTTGTCAGGATAGGTATATTAAATCTTAGTATTTTTTTATTTTTTTTATTGCTTAGGTGGGTGTTAAGTGGTTACTGGAGCCCATAGACATCTACAACGTAAATGCGCCACACACCTTGAGATATAAGTTCTAAGGTCTCAGTATAGTTACAACGGCTACCCCACCCTTCAAACCGAAACGCATTACTGCTTCACGGCAGAAATAGACGGGGTGGTGGTACCTACCCGTGCGGACTCCCAAGAGGTCCTACCACCAGTGATTACGCAAATTATAATTTTGCTGGTTTGATTTTTATTACACGATGTTATTCCTTCACCGTGGAAGTCAATCATGAACATTTGTTAAGTACGTATTTCATTAGAAAAATTGGTACCCGCCTGCGGGATTCGAACACCGGTGCATCGCTACAAACGAATGCACCGGACGTCTTATCCTTTCGGCCACGACGACTTCTGACTGAAAGTACGTTTCAGCTCTGTTTATGCAGTTGTTGGAACGGCGTCTTCTCTGCCTGCACGAGCAGGTACCACAACCCTGCACATTTCTCCTGCGAAGTAATAATGAAGGGAGGGACAGACGTTACACTACACAATTCAATTTTAGACGTCATGTCTCAAGGTGAGTGGCGGCTTTCACGTTGTGTAGTATAAAGGCTCCGGGAACAATTTAACAGCAGATAGGCCGTGAATTCATTGGCCCGTGTACGAAATAAAAAAATTAAGTTTCACGGAAGCGGTGGGCGATTAGAGACCGAGGGCGTCTCACCTTCTGGTGCTCACCGGCTTATGTGCTTCGGCCAGCATCTGTAAAGTGTCACCCGGAATGAACCAACGATAGAGTGCAACAACTGTGACAGCGACGACTTGGCTAAGCACATGATCGTAAACTGGCTCGCTTAACTGGAGTAGGGCCGTATCCTCGTCACACAAATATGACAGAACTTGTCACTGCCAACGGTCGCTGTTGCACTGATCCGTCACTGTCGAGCCAGGGGCCAGAAAAGGCCTTTCACTCGGCTCTGGCCTTGTAGGTAGAGGTGTATTGCATTTCCGACCCAGCAGGCTAGTTTTGATTAAGCGGGGTATTCCGGGGCACTAGCGGTACTGCCTTAGACGGCCTGACCTAGTCGCTGACTATCGCCACGATAACTCCATCGGCCGGGTGTCCTAAGGAGAAGCTGCACGCCTGGTTATAGTGTTAACCGCGAAAGTTAGGGGGAACGCCTTGCCCTGGTTTTGTCTCTGGCGGCAATCGGACGTCAAACGGGAATATTCGTGGAGTTTAGCCGGTACTCCCCATCCCCTGGCCCATGCCCCATCGGCCTGGTATCTCCTAAATGTATCTAAATGTATTCTCAAAAAAAAACTACTATGTGACTACGACAAACTGCAGCTGCGGCGATATCTTCTTAAGCTAGTAGTCACTTGAAAATTCGCTAGTTAATCAGTTTATAATTATAAATGAGTAGCTTAAGTAGTTAAAAAAGAAAATAGATATATATAATAATATAATACCTGGTCAATAAATTCATGCAATACTCTAATACACTTCTGGTGCTCATCATACACAGGTAACTGTTTGAAAAGCCAATCCGGATGCAGCCATAGATGAAATATCCGCTCACAAATTACATTAAGAAGACGGTTCAAAGATTTCAAGAACTCTGAATCAACCTTTGCTTGTGCATTGATATTCACGCCCATTGCTGTTTCTAAAATGAAAATGTATGATTAACCTTATTCTCTCTGAAAAGTAGGACGGCCTCAACTACTTTTTGATAGGCAGCGGCTTGGCTCTGCCCCTGGCATTGCTGAAGTCCATGGGCGACGATAACCACTTATCATCGGGTGGGCCGTATGATCGTCCGCCTACAAGAGTATAAAAAAAACTTTTAAGCGATTACTGGAGCTCATAGACATTACAGCGTGAATAGATAACAATAAATATAGCCCCAACTTCAAATATTACAGTGAGGTTGCAAATCTGTTGAATAACGACTGCCCCCTACCCTTCAAACCATAATACCTACATTATTACTTTGCTGCTAAAATAGACAGGTGATGATACATGTCGGACTCATATCACCAGAAGTCGTCGTGGCCTAAACAATAAGACGTCCGGTGCATACGTTTTGAGCGATGTACCGGTGTTCGAATCTCAAGCGGATACCAATTTTTCTAATGAAATACGTACTCAACAAATGTTCACGATTGACTTCCACGGTGAAGGAATAACATCGTGTAATAAAAATCAAACCCACAAACTTAGAATTTGCGTAATTACTGGTGGTAGGACCTCTTGTGAGTCCGCGCGGGTAGGTACCACCGCCCTGCCTATTTCTGCAATGAAGCAGTAATGCGTTTCGGTTTGAAGGATGGGACAGCCGTTATAACTATACTTGCGACTTTAGAACTTACCTATATATCTCAAGGGGGTTGGCGCATTTATGTCGTAGATGTCTATGGGCTCCAGTAACCACTTAACACCAGGAGGGCTGTGAGCTCGTCCACCCATTTAAGCAGTAAAAAAAAAGTAATTACAAATTGTCTTTTGGAAGTTCAATTTTTACAAACAATAAAACTTGTATGTTTTAACGGAAGTCGTTTGTTTGTAAACATCTGTTAAGAATGTACGTGTGTCATCTGATAAAACTTATAATCTATACTTCTATACTAATACTAATATTATAAAGAGAAAAGATTTGTTTGTTTGTTTGTATTGAATAGGCTCCGAAACTACTGAACCAATTTGAAAAAATCTTTCACTGTTTGGAAGCTACACTATTCCCAAGTGACATAGGTTATATATATTTTTTTAAATTAGGTATCCTTACTAAAACTCCAATAATGTAACGCAAGGTGTAAAAAAATTACCTAAAATATTCTTTACATCGCGTGCCCTGCAAAAACTATTGATGATAGAATAAAATAATGTTATACGACTTTGTAGAACACATTATTATTTACAAAAAGTGTCGCGACAGCAAATGTCTGACTATTATAGTTAAGCCGCAATAAGTGTTATTTTATTTAAAAAAAATAAAACAACGTCAAATATTGTTGAAATTTTTGTTTAAGACACGAGCGGAGCCGGAGCGGGCCGCTTTTATGTATATAAAATCAAAACGTTAACAAAAGAGACTTAGTGTTTGTTAATTTAATTTAAGCCGTAACTTACCACAGACAGAGTCCAATGTATAAGCATTTAGAAAAGGCCATGAGCTGAACTTCCCTTTGCCGACGCATTTACTCAAACTTGAAACAAGCTTCTCGCTTTGCTCAGAGATTATTCCAACAAAACTGTGAACTATTTTCGGACTGAACGCTGGCACCATAATTTTTCGACGTCTTCGCCATATCGACACTAAAATTTAATGATATACACACAAATGTATTACACCAACTCATTACGAACAACTATACAAAAATGAGCCAACGAGATGACACTATCACTGCATAGTTCAGACAAGCTAACGAAAACTAAGAATAATTAGCAGATATTATGTGAAGTATGAATGAATCTCTGAAACATACAAATCGAACAAACGTACCTGGTGCAAAAATGCCGCCATACCCAATCATCGGTCTTAAAAATCTATGTAAGTCGTCTTTCTCCAAGCAGGCCTTCAGAACTACCTCCGTGTCAACGGGATTTGATGACACTATATAAATAAATAAAAGACTTGCACAATTTTTTTGATGTGAAACATCTATAGCCGCATGTAAAACCGATTTATGGCGTGGCGATGCATGCCGTGGCGATGGGTCGCCACGCTATGTGATGGTATATATATGCAGTCTATATGCAGTAGTCTGTACGGTGTGGCAACGCATCGCCATGCGCAATCGACTGTACGATTTGTTTGTGTGTAGTGTATACAGTGTTGTTTACTTACAGTACACATAACCTGTGTTATAACCTTCACTTGAAAACAAATTATTTTTTCGTAATATTTTATTTTATCATTATGACTTATTTAGTTCCTATCACAATCTGTTCTTTTCTGCATATTACTTTTACAAAATAATGTCGATGTTTCACATCTGCCAGGCGTCCCGTGACGGCTCACATTTTTTTTCTAATCAATTCTCCTAATTTTCTAATTCTATTTCGAACAACAACTAACATCTAAACTAATTCTTGGTGAACAACAAATTAATCTAAACGAAAAAATTACAAAGTTAAAATCATTTTTCAAGACGACGCATTATCCGCGCGAACTACAAGCAACAGCGGAAACGCTAATCGAACGACAAAAAACGTATATGACTGACTTAGGTCAGCGAAGAAAAGACTGTAATTAATTAATTGTTAATTAACATAGCAGTCGTTAAATAGTATATTACGCACCGAGGGAGAAAAGTAGGACATTCACGACCGCGAATTGTTCACAATCGCGGATGGGCATGTTCTACCTTTCTCCCTAGGTGCGTAATATACTATTTAACGACTGCTATGTTGAAAATTTCGCTCTTAGTCTCTGGCACCCCCTCACAGTTGTATTTTATTATGAGGAAATATATGTTATTAAAATGAATGAAGAACGGATTTATAACATTAAATAAAATAAAATTACGTTCAGGTAATAGGCGCGTTCAATAAAAAGTGATAATGAGTATTACGCAATAATATTTTACCAAATGTTATTTTATTTTTCAGGTTCACACTTTATATATCTTTTTTTCTAAAACTAAAATTTCCTTTATTTTTTAATCTTCTTCGTGATCCCTTACAAAATCGTGTAGCGCGACGACTACTACATCATCATCTTCAAATTTATGCCCCCTGAGATTTTCCTTTAACCGTGGAAATAGGTTAAAATCACCAGGAGCTAGCTCCGGTAAATATGGAGGATGTTTCATCAATTCGTAGTAATCTTCTTAAATGGCAGCCATCGCAACTCTCCACTTGTACACAGGGTTTATCTTGGTGAAACAAAACAACTTTAGCGAGTTTCTCACGCCGTTGCTTGCGGGCTTTCTTACGCAACTTTGTTATTTTTCTAGCCTACTAGGGACTAGCCCTGTGGGGTCGTCGTTAATAGAGGCTACCTATCCGACAAAGCCGCCATTGCCCGAAACATGTCTTGTCGGGTCCCCAAGATCCACTCTCGGTGCTTTAAGGCCTTTCTAGTACCGTTTACTGTTCTCGTCGAAATCTTCGTCGTAATCGACGAATTAACCCAAATACAAAACCCAACGAAGGAAATAACCCAAATATACAGCCCACTGAATTCCTCGCCGGATTTCTCAGTGGGTCGCGATTTCGATCCGGCAGTAGATTGTAGTAGTGCAGTGCTTAGCCCTAGCTAGTGTTAGGAAATTCTCTCAGGTTGAGCCCATGAGCTCACCTACCCGTCTGGACGTAACTGGAATTACCCTGTAGGCCATCAGCGAATAGGTAGGAAATAAAAATTGAACTTCTTCCTCGCTTGAACTCAGCACACAAACGTTCAACCGTAGAATATGGAGCAGCATAAACCCATAATGTTGCTTTCAAATGCTGATTTACCGGCTTCATATTCAAACTTTTCAAGCAATGATTTATTTTTTTACCGTACGAACTTCAATTTTAATAAAATATTAAATGAAATAAAAAAAACAGAAGGGAATTGATTTTATTTTATAATTATAGCTAATATCTCGATTACGCCTGCTAGTATTTTTTTGTCTTTTCATTCGCATTTTCACTACTTAATGAACACCACTTGTAAATTCACATTCATGTCGTAGGTATACATATTTTTATGATAATTAGTTCTCTGATGTATTAAATATTAACAATGAAATACCGGAATGGATGATGAAGGACAGAACACCAGAGGTATGCCGGAATCGAAGAACTGCTAAGCCTAATAAATTGGTAAGATAAAAAAATCATGAACTTTGCCCATAATCTGTGTCTGTAAACACATCTAACACAAAAAATACTAATTCCGAATTTCGTTAACATTAACCTTCTCAAAATGTACTGAAAAAAAGGATATCGGTCGATAAATTTAATGGAAAATTGTACTTAAGTATTTTGCCTATTTATATAAAAATACTCAACTCACCAAAGTAAAGAATGTGAAACAACCACATAGTCAGTATGCCATTGTGTTTGATGGCATCGTAGCAGTATCTTTGAAGTGACGACATTATTTCTAAAAGAACAAATATTGGAGTTGAAATTATGCCGTCGCATGTATACTTTGTTTAAAGACTATTTTTAATCTCAACAATGTCGGTTACTATTTGGAATCGAATTCCTAGATTAATACTAGGTATAGGAATAGTGAAGATAGTGAAGTAATAGGTACTCAGCCAAAGAATCTGAGCGGTGGTTTTAAACGACGGTTTGAAGCGTGGAACAATCATTTTTTATAGATGCTTTGAATGCCTCAGCATAGGTGATGGCATACACGGTTTGACTCCGCATTAATGGACGCCGATAACCGCTTAACACGATATGGGCCGTAGGCAACTTTTTTCAATTTTCTCTTTTAATTATTTTATTTATTAAATTTCATGCATATTAATTTAAAACACATTAGCGGACTTAATGACTAATACATTATCTACCAATCAATCAAGGGTGATTCAGAAAAGAACATCATTAGTGCATTTGTTGATAAATTAAAGTTAAAATAGATACTTTATAATTTATTAACTTTGTGTACTAAACGAGTATCAACCTACATAAAATGTAAATATACTAAATGCATGAATCATAAACATATATATACTTTAAACATATACAAACAAATTAAACATATATATAAATATTAAATATGTACATATTATTATATACATTTAAAAGTTTATGTGTACATACGTGCATGACTTACAAAACACTAGAACAATTATGTCTTATATTCCAATTATTGTAGTCCAACGTATTAAAAGTAAAATTACAATGACATTATCTGCGCTAAAATGATTTTAGATTTCAACACCTTGACGCCACTGACTAATTTACTTTTACAACCTTGTAGATCTATGTTATTGCTGGCATAAAGATACTACATGCCACAAAACCTCTAATCCAAAAAAAAATGAAGAACCATTTTTTATTATTATTTTATAACCTTGTCTAAGAAACAATTTATACTAATATTATAAAGAGGAAAGATTTGTTTGTTTGTTTGTTTCGAATAGGCTCCGAAACTACTGGACCGATTTGAAAAATTCCATTAGAAGCCGACATTGTCCCTGATGAACATAGGCTACTTCTTTAAAAAAAAAAATTTTTTTTTTTTGGAGTTTACTCCTTTAGAATCGATTTACATATATAGGCCCGGGGTATGAAAATTATGGGGACCAAAATCGTACTAGCATGTCACACGAAATGCGTTATGCGCCTGATTGGCTCCTGATTGCGTGATGCGTGCGCGCGCCAATCAGGAGCCAACGCGCGGCCGCGTTATCGCAGGTGACGCCGGGCTGCTGCGCCGGCAGTCCGCCACAAAGCCTCGTACTGATCGCGCGTTTCTCTCATTATTGTATTTTCATATATTTGTTAGTCGTTTGTTTTGTGTCTCGTTAATTTGTTAATAATCTGTANCAGATTTTTACATGTATTTTTATTTAATCAAATACATTAAAACCAATAACAACTGAGACTTACCTTTAATATATATGCTGGTTCAAACACTAAATAACGTTTATAAATCATAGTCGTCTTCTATTATTATCAAATAAATAAAAGAGAGCAAAGTTTCTAGCACTAAAATAATTACCACCACAGGAAGTTAATTTGAAACGCGATTTTTTATAAGTTAGCAGCTATTATCATGCATATTCAGAGTTGTTTTGTGAACTTTCAACATTCTACTATTAAACTACAAAAAATGGAAGATTTTGCAACGAATATAAAACTTATATTGAGCGTCGAAAGATTTTCCCGGTTTTTTCCCGATTCGCCTCTCAATCCCTAAACGCCCCATTTTACCGGTACCTAATTCGCATTTACTTATTTGAGTAGTCTCGCATGTTTGAAAGTAAGATACATAATCGCTAACCGCATTGTAATTGGCGATCACCTCTGTCATCGCGAGTTTTCGAGCGGCGATAGAAGAGGGCAACAAACTGAAGTCTACGAGGAAAACGCTGAACAAGTTAGTGCACGGTCTTCTTTTATTTATGGTCTCAATTTTTTTATAATTAGCTTGTTATCGCGTACAGTCCGCTTAAAACCCAATATGTTTTGTTATATTTTATATTCGTTACCTTATCTTCTAATAACTTTTTCTTCTTTTTTATTTTAATATAAAATGGAATTTCTATATTTGTTAGATTATGTTGAAAATTTGTACAGCTGGTATTGGCATTTGGTACAATCAACTCGGTTGCATTCGAGTACTTTTTTGTACAGAAAATGTA